GCCTCGCCTCGCCTCGCCTCAGCGCTGCCCCGCGGCCGGGCCGGGGTACCGCGGTGCTAATGGCCGGTTCTTCCCTGCCCGGGCGGTTCTTCCCTGCCCCGCCAGTGCCGCAGCTGCTGTACGGAGGGAAGCTGGATTTCCTCGTCTTCGATTATCTCTCCGAGATGACCGTGTCGTTGCTGACGGCTGCCAAAACCCAGTCTCCCGTAAGTAGCCGCCGCTCAGCCCCGGTATGCCCGACTTGGCTCAGGCAAGGAGCTGGGCTGGGTGGAGTGTAGCTCCCCGGTGTTACGGGGGCTCCGGTACCTCCGAGCTCTCCTCCGACCCAGATGGCACTCAGGGTCTGCTTAGGACATGTCAGGTTATGGGGACACGTTTGCTTTTGTGTACTTCTTACTTAAATGTATTTGTTTCATAGAATCATACAATGATTTGGGTTGGAAGGGACCTTAAACATCATATAGTTCCAAACCCCTTGCCACGGGCAGGGACACCTTCCACTAGACCAGGTTGCTCAAAGCCCCATCCAACCGGGCCTTTATATATTCAGTTTCATCTAGTAGAAGTGTTCACATCCTTTTCCATAGCATTATCCAAGCATCTTGAGAGCTAGTTGTTCTTCCCTGTTTTCTCTTCTCTTAACCAAGGATTGGTTGACTTAACCATAACAAATGGTTACAGCTTTTAATTATTTCAGGTTTTAGGTTACACTCCAGATTTTGTCTCTGCTGCCATGGCTCCCTATATAAAAGATATTCACAGGAAAGGTAGGCTATTCTTCACATGAGTTTGTATGTTAATTAAATTCACTTGCTTAGATGAGTTTCGTATGGCTTCTGTTACTATAAACAGATGGGTTTTACCTCAGTGTTTTGCTGTCCTCTAGGAATAATGTTTTAAGCATCAGCAAAAATCCCATCATAATAAGATATGAAGTGCAGGTCTGATGGTGCCGTTTAAATTGGGTTACTTTGAAATGTTAGTCATTATTATAAATATGTACATAGTACATACATCTCCATATATTATTATTTAATATGTGAATGGAACATCCCTTTGCAGGTCTTAAAACATCAGAGCTAGACATTTTCAGTGCAATGTAAAAGTTTGTCAACCTTCCCATGTAGTTGTAGAACATGACGTATTTTCTGATCAGTTTTTCTCTGTTCGCATTAGTATGAGTATACAGCTTTCTGAGCTTGAGAGGAGAAAGGGGATCACTTCTGAGTACCCAATACCTTGCTAACAGTTTGGAATTTAGAGAGATAGATGCATATTGCTGCTAAAATGCAGTTGTTCAAAGAGCATGGATTCTTGAATGACTGGTGTCAAATACTGTTCCTGTAGGAGTTGTTTTGATACTGTCTGCCTACCTCATGTATGTGATTTTGGTCACTTTCTCCTTCCATGTATAAAGGAAAGGTGAGAAGTATCTGTAACAGTTATTTTTCTGTAAACAATTCTGCATTGACTTACTCTGATTCTCTATCAGATTAAGTGGGGTTCATATGTTAATGTGATTTTAATACTCCATTAGATGTCTGACACCTTGCAACGAGTGATATCTTGCTTGTGTTTCAGCATGCTTTAAGTTTTTTAAATGTAAGTGATAGTTGATGCTGCTGAACTTGATTTGTCTTTTTTGTTTAGGTGTTCGTGTCGTCAGTAGCGCTGGTGGAATTAATCCACTTGCTTGTGCAGCTGCCCTTCAGGAGGTAGCAAAGAAAGCAGATGTTGATTTGAAAATAGCTGTTGTTGCTGGAGATGACCTAATGAGTGAGGTATTGTCCTTTGTCTTAAAGCTTAGTAGCACTGAGGAAATTAGTCTGCATAGCATGAAGATGTTATTTACTGTCCTATAGGAACTTATTTTGTGTATCTTTATGCAATAGTCTTCTACCATTAAAAGCATCTGAAAATTGTTCCTTCATTTTATTCTTTTTTTTATGCGTGAAAAGAATTCTTGACACATTTATGTTTGGTGTGTGTAGAGGGTGAGTTTTATAAGACTGGGTCTGCTGTTAATCTTTTTGTAGCGAACTGAATGGGATCTAAGGGCTGCTTGCTCATCAGGAGAAACTAGGATGTTATTGTTTCTGCCTAAACTAAATAATCCTGAATGTTAAATCTCTTGAACTTAAATGTGTTGTAGTTATCACATGTTCAAATGTTCATCTCTTCTAGCTGTTTTGAGTAGTTTACAGGCATTTCCGGATGTCATTTTGGTTACAGGTAGCTGTTTTTCTATTTCTAAATAATTAGTTTATGGCTGGTAATGTTAAGTGGAGGTATGAAAGTTTTAACATTAAAAATAACAAACAAACCCCAATAAAACTTGAAAGATGAAATATACAGCCTTTTTTGACAGAAAGGATGATGCATTATGTATGAAGTCTGGTTCTGCAAAAAGCATTAGCCATACGTGAAAAGATACTGTGAAAACAGTTTATGCATTGATAGTGGTTAAGAGGGGATAGGTTTGCACTGTGGTTAGATCTCTGCTTTGAACTTGGAAAATTATTTATCTGTGTGGGCTCTGTTACTCCTTACATGCTATTGAATGTGGAAGATGGTCAAGTTAAGATTCTTTACTTGCAATTTATGTGCAGTGCTTGGACTACCTTTCAAGAAACTTCTACCCTACTGAAATTGCTAGCATTCACGGTCCTGAATTTCATTACTGGTATTACAGTAAAATGGTCATTATTTGAGGTTTGCATGGATGTTGCTGATCTGAAATGGATTTTCTGTGCTATTGTCAGTACATTACTTACAGGAAGAAAAAGAGACAGCATTTACTGTCTACAGACAATTTCTACTATTGATACCAAACATCATAAATTGAACTAGGAAATGTTACTTGTGGTTTGGAGGTATTCTATTACAGTAGAATACCAAATTAATTCAACGTGGAAGTTTTTTTCCACACTATAGTTTTCCCCTGTAACTAGCATTAGATATTGAGTCTATGCAGTCACTGGCCTCTGGATCCACTGGTTTCCCAAGCTACCAAGACATGATCAAAAATGCCTACCTCCCTGACCTACCTACCCCTCTGGAAACACAGTGTATTCCAGGTATGACCTGGAGCTGCAGAATTAGCCTTGTTTTCTGGCCATGCCACCATTGCTGTTACGGCAGACAAATTTCTGTTTGCAGGGTTTGATTTACTTGGTCCTACAGCAGATAAAGACAGTTTAAAAGCCTAGGGAATATACCAGTTCATTTTAGTTTATCATCTGTGAATAAGCTAGGGTTATTTGAAGATTTGCTTACTTTTCAGTGTGCTGGAAAACTATGGTTAAAAGTGTGTTTAGGGCTTTTAGCCATTCAACTGATTTGTATTGTTGCTAATTTTAATGAGTATACTTTGCTTAGAGTTGCTATGAAGTGAACCTGTTGTCTGATACTAGTAAAAGGCTTGGAGCAGATAATTATAAAATACTCATTGATGTGGTGTTCTGTTTGTTTTCTAACAGAAAGAGAACCTAAAAGGAGCTGGTATCACTGATTTAGAGAGTGGCAAACAATTTCCAGAGAGCATTCATAGCATGAATGCGTATCTTGGGTGAGTTATTTAACAAGTTGCTTTTATTATGGACGAATACTATTTACACATTGACTACAACCACCTAGTATGTGAGGTTCACATTTGCGTTATTCAGGCAACTAGAAGAAAAAATTTGTTTGTAACTTGTAAATAAACTTTTAATTTAGAGCCTTACCAGGTTCTGAAAAGGACTGAGAGATGGGACAATCATAGAATACCAAGTTAGAAGGGACCTCAGGGATCACGTGGTCCATTCTTTCTAGGCAAAGCATGGCCTAGACTAGATGTCCCAGCACCCTGTCCAGCTGAATCTTAAGTGTCCAGTGTTGGGGAATCCACCCCTTTTCTGGGGAGATTATTCCAATGGCTGATTGTTCTCATTATCAAAAATTTTCCTCTTGTGCCCAGTCAGAATCTACCCAGCAGTAACTTGTGCTTGTTACACTTTGTATTTTACATATGACTCCTTTTAAGAATGGAGTCTCCATCTTCTTTGTAGTCACTCTTTAAATAGTGGGATATGGTGATAAGATCTGTCCTGAGCCGCCTTTTGTCTAAGCTGAGCAAACCCAGCTCTCTTAGCCACTCCTCATACAGCAGGCTTCCCAGTCCTTCGATAGTCTTTGTAGTTTTCTCTGTACGCTCTCCAGCCTGTCCATGGCTTTTTTTTTTATACAACAGGGACTAAAACTGAACACAGTATTCTAGATGGGGCCTGACAAGTTTGAAATGGGATGATGACTTCTTTGTCTCTGCTGGTGATGCTGTATTTGACAGTGTTCAGGTGTTCCCAAAAGCCAGCATCTCTACCAGTTCATGATTCTGGTGATCCTGGTTTTGGTTTTCCATCCTCCATGTCATATATATATATATAATGCTTTCTGTTTTTCTGTTCAGTGTTTTTCTGGAATCTACACACAGTCTGCCCCCCCCCCCCCACATTAATGTGCATGGAAAAACTGCCATGATCTTTCACTTACTATCATTGCACTTTTAAAACTCATCACTAGCACATAACAAGGTATGGCTGTACCTAACACAGCATGTATTTTTCTTTGTAAACTGAAACCTTTTAATAGATGAGTCTTTTTAAATTCTTCTTTAGTGTTTTCTCTTGTAGCTGGATCTTCTGTTTGTTAAACTTTGACTTGCAACATTTGGAGGTCATAGGTAACTGAACATGAAATCTAAGAAATAATGTTTAAGATTTGTAACTGTGAGAAAGTGTTTATTCCGATTCTGGTGGTTTATGGTTTTTATTACAAATTAAAAAAGCAGTGCACATTGAAGCAGAGAGGACAAAAGCAGGCTAGTATGAGGAAGAGGTATTTTAAAAATCCTTTACCTCTGCTTCATTAACAGATTCTAGAACAGTGGATTCATGGTCTTGGTTTTCTAATAAAAGCAGTATTTCTTTATGAGAAAAATCTCATGATCTCCCCTAATCTCAGTTGCACTCAGCCTCTTAAATGAGTTGTTTCATAAGTTACATTTTTCTTTGACAACATCAGCAGTGGGTGATTATTCATAAAGCAAATGGTAGATTTATATATAGGCACCGGTAAAACAAGTCAACATCAGAGTGTATCAGGTAAAATCTGTAAACACTTTTCATTCCCTAAATCTGATGATGTTTACAGTTTCATTCTTGATTTAAGTACAGTTTTTTCAGATGGGTATCAATCCTGAAGTGTTTCTTTTGTCTCTCCTGATTTGGGTTATTAGGAATTCTGTGGACTAAGTTCACATGCGTTTTTAACAATAAGAGCTGTATTTACTGCTTTCTAAAGGTAGTTACACAGTTTTTCTATCAGTGTCCTGTATGTATGTATGCAGAAACCCCATTTGTTTTTTTTTTTTACCTGTGAGTGTTACTTAACACTGTGCCCAGAGGTGTAAATTATTTCTGTATGCTGTATATTTGCTTGTTGTTTTAGCTAGTATCCTTTGGTTCATCTAGTATTGTAAAAACGAACCAACCCCAAACCAACAGAAAACAAACCAAACCACTATACTTAATGTTTACATGACTAAAAACTTCTGTGTCTTCTGAATTACCTCTTGACAAAAAAAGGGCTATGTCTACAGAAACTGTGGAAAAACATTGCTCTTGGTTTAGTTCTTCGAGGCACATGTTTTATGTGGTTTGTGTCTTCAAGCTGTCTATTTGATGAAGAATAGAAAGATCCAGCAGATAGCATGGGTTTAGAAGCCAGGAGCCATGCACTCTGGTCAAAGCTTGCTCACTAAAGAGTATAAATTTGAGCAGTTCACCTGGATTAATATTTTCAAGCCTGACAAATTTCGACTGGGCTGACTCCAACCTGAAGTATCTGGAAAATCTGTGGTCTGAGTTTCTTCAGAAATAATGACTGCACAGCAATCTTCTTGAAGTTGGTTGATATTGCAAGTTCTAAAAACACTTATGGAAATTGACCTGAAGGGTCTGAAATTGGAGGGGAAAGTCACCAAGCTTTCTCTGTGAAGAATATTGGTCTTTTTATATACTCATCTACAAATGAAATAAGAGTAATGAATCTCTGAAAAATACTTAGTATTTTCTGTTATTGATGATAGAAGTGACTCTCTATGCACTGTGTTCAAGACAGTTTCTGTGAGCATCAAGACAAGCGTTTCAGTTATGTCATTTAAGTACCTGTATTTGGTAGAGTGTTCTGATACTTGCTTTTTCAAATAATCTTGGTGTATATACAAAATGACAAATTGATTTTACTGATTTCCTACAGGACTTTCTTTCAAGTGATTTTTATCCTGTGGGTGGCAGGAAACTGATACTTTTTTTTCTTTTTTATTTTTTTAAAATAATTATTAAAAAATTAAATACTTGCTATTGTGCTTTGTCATCTTTAGAGCAAGACCAATAAGCAGGGCTCTTGACCTTGGAGCTGATATTGTTGTGACGGGAAGATGTGTTGACAGTGGGATTGTATTAGGACCGCTCATTCATTCTGTAAGTACAAGTTAATTCCCGCATGATAAGAAACTTAATTGAATGAACATTCAGCAACCATTGTCAGCCAGTTTTTGTCCCTTATTAAAATGTGGATACTAAATTAAAAATAGTAAGCAACTTAATTTTTTTTCCTTACATGCGTGAAAAGTTGCCAGTTTTCACTTCTAAACTTATAGCAGGGATATTTGTGAACTTGACTGTCATGAAGCTGGAAAGTGTTTTGGTGAAGTGAAGGAAATCTTGCCATATTTCACCAGCATTTCACTCCGTACTTTCACCCTTTTAAAATTTGATGTGCAAGGTTAAGAAGAACTATAGTTTTCTTTACCACAAGGTGGCGATAGTAGAGCTCACTGGTTTCGCGGGGAGGCGCATCAGGTGGTCTAAAACTCTGGGCTTTTTTAATGGGTGAGCAGTATTATTTTAAGTAGTTGAATTTCAGTGCAACATTTATCAAATTATTTGAATTTCATTAAATTATACAAGCAGGATATGTGGTTTTCTGAAGTATTTTGAATAGCTTATACATTTCTGTGAATGACCACACACTGTGAAATATGCAAGCTTTCTTTTGGTGCACATTAAGGGCGAAAAAAAAAAAGCGGGTATGCATTAATGTCTAGTTACAAACATCCTTTCTAAAACTTCATACTCTCCTGACTTCATCCGTGTCAAACATTGCCTAATTGAGAATTAAACTTTCCCATTTGTAACTGTCATTGTGGGCTGTTACTTTGTTCCTAGCTGTTCACATCCCTAAAATAGCTGTCAGTGTTTTATCTACTGCAGAGATGCCTTATTTGCCTTATTGAAAGGAGTCTTCTGGCAAGTTCTAAATAAGAAACAATGAATATATTGCTTGCACTATTTTGAACTTGGGGAAAAATAATTTCTAGTTAATCAGAAAACATCAGAGCTCTTTTACGAACTTACTGCATAGCAACTCAAATCTGCGTACAGCCTCTGCCAGTTATTGTTCTTTAGATTTCTGCAGTTAAGTAAAAATATATCCAATGCATTGTCACTCAAAGCAGTGAACATACTATGTACTGTTTTCTGAACTGTATGATATGTTTCTATATTTAACACTTTTGTATTTTTCTTCTAGTTTGGCTGGAATAGGGATGAATTTGACTTGCTAGCTGCAGGAAGGTAAATGATATGAGAAGAAATGGGTAAATTTATATTTCGTATCATAATGTCAGGATAATAAAACTTCTTAATGAGTGATTTTGCATGTTATTGAAATGTTTTTGCTAGGTTTTGGGTCCTTTTTTAAGGCTTGCTTAATAGTGTTGCTTGGAATTGAAATTATAGAAACTTCATTCTGGAACCAACTTAAAATAACAAAATGAGGAAAGGAGTGAATGATTTTATTGAACAGCTTAACTTTCTCTTCCTGCCCATTCTGTGTCAAGAGATGAAATCTTACAGTATAGATCAGTGATTCCCAGCTTTTTCTGTTTTCCATCTCTGTTGATAGTTAAGATGGTAGCAGGTCTTATCCTCAGGGATGGGTGGTGGGAGTTTCACTCAGAGGTCAGCATCGTTGTATGATTTTTCAGAAGCTCAGTGTTAGTGTTCCATTTGGAAACCCTAGTTGTAGGCCCTAAGGTTAGGAATCTGGTACACAAAGCATAGGGTAAAATTCTGTCATTTAATTTAATATTCTGCATAATCTGACTGTGTTGAAGTCCATGAAAATGAGTGATTGCTTAGGTAACTGGAGTACACCTAGTAGTAATATGATTGGATCTCCTTTTACATGCGAATAAATGTGGAGAGAAACTTTGGTTCCACTGAATTTGGGATGATAGAGATAAGGGTTTTCCCTGTAATTCTGTTGAGTGTTTGGACTGTTGGACTGTCACAATTAAAGATTTGAGAATCATAGTATGTAATCATAATACATTCTGTTCTTCACATTTGAAGTGAGATCTTTTATCTCTTGATTTAAAAACGGGCTTTGCATATTTAGATAATCTTGTAGGTATTAATTTTTCTTCATGTAAAAGTTACTCCTTTCAGGTCTTCTTACATTCATCTTTCAGAATCCCTTGTTATTACTGTTGTATTTTTAAAGCTGGATTTGTGAAACTTGCTTTTACAGAATATTTAGTTACTTGAATGTCATTTTCCTAGCCTTGCAGGTCATCTCATTGAATGTGGTGCTCAATGTACAGGTGGAATATTCACTGATTGGCATGCAGTACCAGACTGGTAGGTAACTGTGACATCAGCATGTATGTCTGTAGTGGACCAAAGATGAGGTTTCCTACTATATGTGTGTTGTGAAAACTGCTTCTACTTTATTCTTTTGGAAGAAGCAATATGGGTCTCTTGTTATTTTTCCACCTTATTGTTACTCTTCTGTGGTCTGTTCTCCCTATTGCAGTTTTCCTTTCTGGCCAACTGGGGGCTTTCTTTGTTAACTTAAGCAGATGATCTGAAAAAAATTTTATCTTCCCCTCCCCCCCCCCGCTTCTTTTGAAGATTTGTTGCTGGTTTACATGTATTATTGTAATGGAACAGACAATATACATCAGTCATCAGTTAGATCAGAGTTACCTACTGTTCAGTCACAAATTTTATGTAATTTGCTTTGGTAGGGATGAATGTATACCACAGTCCTCTCCTGCTGTATGATGTGATCTCCACAAATGTGTCGAGCTACCAGTCCTTCCAAAAAGTTATGTATCTTGTGTTCAGTCTTCTTGAATTGGATTTTCACACAGGTAGGTCCTTCTGCCTGCTGAGGAAGGACTAATGTAGCCTCCTTTTGACCAGCTTGTTTTTAAGACTAGTTTAAAAATAGTTAGAGAATATATTTTACATAGGATGAGTGGTTCTTGCTGCAGTTTATTCGTATTTTCCTTGGGATGAGAGGGAGAAATGTCCTGTGCCATGTCATGTAAAAGGTGGTATTGCTTTTACATGGCTGAGGAGAGGGCTGAAGAGCAGTATGAGAAATGCAGGAGAGAAGTGTGGTTTTCATCCTGTGTGTTCCTGCTCCCAATGTCACTCTGGGATGGAGGCCACTGGGAGCAACCTGTAGTCCAGGTGGATGAACCAGCAGAACGCTGGGCCCTGCAGTCTGAAGAGCCACTCTCCTGAGTTAGTTCTCTAGGGCTGCCATGATTTTTTTCTTCTTCTTGTAGTGACTGCTTCTGATTCAGAGTGTGATCCTGAAAGGTGTATTCTGCTTTTCTGAGTTCCTGAACATTGTTGATGTACAGGTGAAAGCACAGATGGCATTGAAAGAAACAGGGTCAAAGGTTTATTTTTACCTTTTGTTTGGCTACTAGGCCTGAACAAACTGCACTTACTGTTGTGTTCAGTAGGAAGTCACATGAGAGGGTTTACAGTAACAAGGCACTGTTCAGTTTGGGAATTTATAACTGCTAATTTTATTCCTATTCTGATGTATTTCCTGATGACTTAACTGTGCTGTATCATGAAACTTCTTAAAATTTCCTGTGACTGTGATTCTGTAAGACCTTGCTTTATAGAAGAATGAAAGAAACAGAATCATGGAGAATGCTACTTTTGTTGTTAAAATGCTTGGTAGTTCTTTAAGAATTTTTCTTTGAGAAATGGCAGTCTGGTTTGGAAAAAAAAAGTTTGAGAAGTTTGGGTTTATTAAACTATGGGCTTGTCCTGGGTTCAGCTACAGCAGTCATTTTTTCTCCTTCTTAGTAGCTGGTGCAGTGCTGTGTTTTTGACTTTCAGTCTGGGAACAATGCTGATAACACCGATGTTTTTAGTTGTTGCTCAGTAATGTTTACTCTGACCAAGGACTTTCTCAGTCTCATGCTTTGCCAGAGAGGAGGGGAAGCCAGGAGGAAGCAGAGACAGGACACCTGACTCAAACTGGCCAAAGGAGTATTCCATACCACAGCACGTCATGCCCAGTATATGAACTGGGGGGAGTTACCCGGAAGGCCCAGATCGCTGCTCGGGTCGGGCTGGGTATCGGTCGGCGGGTGGTGAGCGGTTGTGTCCTTTTCCCTTGTTATTCCTCTTGTCATTATTATTGGTAGCAGTAGTGGTTTGTATTATACCTTAGTTACTGGAGAGCTGTTATCTCAACTCGTGGGAGTTACATTCCTTCGATTCTCCTCCCCATCCCTCCGGGAGCGGGGGGAGGAAGGAAAAGGGGGGGGAGTGCGCGAGCGGCTGCGTGGTTCCAAGTTGCCGGCTGGGCTTAAACCACAATAGGGCTACTGGTGTGGGAGTACCTAATTTTACAGACAAGTATACATACATTGGGTATGTATATTTAATACTTGTGTGTGTATATATAAAAATCATATAACTGTGTCTAAAATCATAGTCTTGTAGCTTAGAGCTGACTGGTCCTGACTTGTATTGCTACTAAACAATATAGAAGGTCAGCACCTAATACTGCTCTACTACTTTGTCCCTATTGATCTACATGCATCCTTCTGAACCAGTCATGATTGTAATTGTGCTAATATAATAGTAATTTATTTACTTTCAGGTTAAGTCTACTAAAGAATTAATCATGGTGCTTTAAAATTAACAGCTTTGTTTGCAAATTCAGTAAGTCTTAAACATTTTGTTGTTGAAATTCTTGAAATAAAAGCATGTCGCATGATAGCCTGTATGATCAATCCCTGAAACTAGTCAAAACCAAAATAACATGTGAGCTTTAATTTTATATCTGGAGAGGCAGAGTAGATGACTGACTAAAGTGGACTAAAGTCCAGCACATCCATTCAGGATACAGGGGGAAGGAAGGAGGGGAGGAGACCTGTTAGAGCTTTGCTGCTCCCTTCCCCTTCCCTCTCCCTTCTTCCCCCCTCCCCCAGTAAATAGTTGTTTAGTTTATTTAGGCCAAATGCATGAAGGGGAAAGCTTTTGGTCTGCAGAAAACCACATTTTCCATTTGATAGCTTAGTAGTAACCTGTTGACTTCTTAAAGAAGCTTGATGGCATTGGGTTCTGCTTTAGACAGTCCGAATCTTTTTTCAATATATGCAGATAATGCATTGTGTAATGCACAATAATACAGTAATTTGTAGTCTTAATAATGACCAAAACATGCAATACTTGCTGCCACAGCATCAGTTGTATTGCCAATAGGTCAGCAGAGCTCTGACAAAGTTTGCAGAAGTTACTTGAGTAATGCTCTATTAATGATTTCTCCCTCATTTAGGAAAAGCTACATTTTTAGCAGTCTCCTGAAAGTAAGTGTGTGTAATTTAGATCTCAATAAATCATAATGTCTCTGATACATAATGTTAATTCCGAATCACCCCAACAAAGTCATTAAATGCGGGGGAAGAAGCAAAGTCAAATCTCTCTGTTAGTTGTTAGAGTGCCTTTCACATATAAATTTCCCACTGCCGTGAGTGTGTTCATGCAGCCAAGACTACTTACCATTCAGCTCTGCAAATGTTTTCTGGACCTTTACACTAGAGCTTAAGAGAACCTTTCACAGTATTTATGCTGGTCTCTGGTGGCTAAACAGAAGAGGTCAGTCTGTCTCTTTTCGTCACATCTTATTGCAAAGAGTAGGTTTGGTTATGATTAGACTCATATTTTAGGGTCATATTTTAACTCTCTTCGGGTTTTATTTCTCCATGAGAACAGTAGTGCACATTGCTGTGCAAGTGTACTGTTAGGAAGGACTGATGGGAGTGAGTTTGTCTAACTTGTAAACAGAAAAGGAAGAATTTATCAAATTTTAGACTTGTAAACCTTATCTGCCTATTGTTTATGTATAAGCAAAAATAATCAGCTGTGTAAACAAGAGGACTTTATATTAAACTAAGAAAAGCCAGGCAAGTCAGAGTCAGAGCTCAGATTCCATCTATATATTATCACCTTTATGAGTATTGAGGCACTGGATTAGACCCCCTTCATTCGTCCAGCATAGTTTTTTTAGTTTTGTGAGGGTTTGTTTGTTTATTTATTTAAATTTTCTTGGAATGTTTGATGCATACCACTTCTGGGAACTTAATTCCACTGCAAAAAGGTTCTTTAAGCCTCAGGAATGTTCATGTGGGTATATTGTGGCCATTGAATGATTAGCTGTTAAAACTGGTTTCTTTTTCTTTGTTGTCTTGGTAAAGTAAACTTTTAATGTACAACAAGTAAAGTACATGCTTCAGCTTGTGACTCTCCAAGTTACTTTAGTTGATAGAAGCCAAATTTAGTTGGTATCTGTCTGTTTACCTAAGGCACTGGGATTTCTTTAGTTGTGCTGGCTGTATCTCTTTGATGTATTTGACTTGAAGGCAGGGATCTTGAAGCTGTGAAGTTTTGTCCAGTTTCCATGAAAATGGGCAGACAGGTAGAGAGGGTTGGTGCTGTTTACTTTTCCAGTGAGGGGAGTGCTGCTTGACTCGCCTCTTGTGTGGATTCTTTCATGCTTAGCAGAGAAAATGCAAGAAACTGTTAGTTCACAGTTTATAAATGACTAATGTGCATTCTTAAATGACTTATTTAAAATAAATGTTATCAAAAAAAGCACTTCTGTTATTTGTGTAGTAATATATGTCAGCATCTGGTCAGAAGAAGTGATAATACATCACTGCTCCCTATTTACTGTCTAGTGTGGAGCACTCCATAGGGAATTCATGTAATGTGCAAAGATGAACTGTGATGCCAGACCTATGCTGATAATGCACAGCTCTGTATTTAGTTTCATTTAACCCCAGACATTACTGTCTCTTACTATTATTTAGTGCCAGTGGGTGATTAGTGCACTGTTTTGTTTTGTTTTGAAATGCAGGCAAGAATAAACTAAAGCTGATCAGTAGAATAATTTTGAGGAGATGATAAACACTGACATTTTGCCCTAAGCCAAGAGCGTGCAATGGTTGAGACTGCATAATCCTCTGGCCTGGGATGACCAAAAGGGTAAGTCAATAGTTGTAGTTTCTTAAGGGCTGGATCCAGATTGCTTAATGTGGGACTTGAACGGAATCCAGCATGTGAGTCCCAATCAGCAGTGTGGAATGCCTTTTTCTCTCTAGTGCCATCTATTCCAGGCAGCTGAAAACACTCGACATCCAATATGATTGGCCTGAAATTGCCTAGGCATTAAGAGTTTACATACAATGCATACTCTGAAATGCCCTACTCGGAGGAGATAAGTGATGCAATAATTTTTGCCTAAATTGGAATTGCAGCAGAAGTTAGGAAGCATGTTGGTACCTACCTATAAAGAGATGTGTATACCTTGCCTATAAGTTTGTGCTGATTTTGCCTGACACATGTTAGCAGTTTTGAATTGGTTGTAAAAACACTGCTAAAAGTGGTAGCAGTTTCTGCTTTTTACTTAATAGCATTGCAGTTAAAATACATGCCCAGGGAGTTGAGAAGGTCAGCTTAGAGCTGTCCTCAGCATGACATTCATTGAGTCACATCCCAGGAAACCGTGTTAACTGTAAAGCTAAAAGTTCATACCACAGCCTGGTTGGACCCTCGTTCACTTCCATGTCATGTGCATTGCTGTGGCTTTTTTGTTGGGTTTTTATTTTGTTTTCTTTCTTGCAGCATCTTCCCCTGCAAGTTACTGTACTATGTTAGCTGTCCCATCTATTGTTGCCAGTAGTCTCAGTCTATCAGTAGTGGCCAGAATGAGATACTTGTAGGGTTTGGTACCTTATGAGGGAAAAAATACCCACTTTATCTTAGTATCTTTCTTCCTGAGCCAAAGAGGACCCAGTACTGATCATGGATTTTACCTTTTTGGTAATACAAATGGTGTAAGATACGTGGCAAAACGAGAAGGAAGGCTATCTTCATAGCTACCAGAGATTGAATAGTGCATTATCCCAGAGTAGACAGAGAGAACACCTTTGCTTAGATGGTTTGTGTTATCACCTGTGACATGCCCATGAACTGTAACATTTCTGACAGCCAAAACAGAAGAAAAACCAGCATTTTACATGGAAAAAAATAATCCAAGAGTAAGTCATTGGCAGGCAGAAAACTGACAGGAGACTGTCTTTCAGAGTCCTGATTCCACAGCAGCAGCTGTGGGTGGTTGATGAGAAGGTAGCTTGAGCAAGAAAACCTATTTTAGAACTTTATCCCTGTGCTGTAGTCAGTGAGGACCTGCTTTAACTGTTAGGGGGTTTCCGAGGTTTAATCTTGGCTTATGTTTATTCAGTGCTCTGGTTTATTAATGCATATAAATTATTATTTATTTAAATACCAAACACGCAAGCCGAAACATGTTTTGGATGAAAGAATGGTAGTTGTCATCTTTCACAAACTGATGTATGTTACTTCTGTATTTGAACTCTGTGCTGAAAGAACTACAAAGAATATGTTTAAAATAGTAATTTAATAATTTTTTCTCTAGTATTTTATTAATTACACTATCATATAATTTGATTAGAATTCATTTTAGTAGTTTCTTTTCAGAATTGTTTACATTGCTTGATATTGCAATACTAGGGGATTTTATCACTGAACTGATGCAATTCTTTTATTAAAACCACTTAGCCCCTGTGCCAGTTTGGATGCCATGACTGTAGTTGCTGCTGAAGTTCAAGTTCATAGGTCTGTGGTTTAACTCCCCTGCTACACTGTACAAAACTACAATGTGGCTGTGGGTTATGCCAGCATAAAGTTGGCACGTTAGAGAGCAGATGTCCTATGGTGCATAGCCATGCAGCAAAACCTACCAGTGAATTTGGCAAAGAGTTACTACTTCCAGTGGAAGTGCAAATCAAGGTGATGGTGTGATCAAAGTACCACTGGTATGTGCTAGAATACTTCATCCAGGGAGCTGTTGCTGCTGGTGAGCTCTAATGACAAATTTAAGTAGCTGTTACTTGACTGAATCATGCCATAGGAGTGGCTTAGCCCAGGTTGTTTCCAAGCTGAAAATTAATTTTAATTAATGTCTTTTAACAATATACAAAAGACCTTTTTCTCTTAGGCATGCATATGTTAATTTAGGTTATTATTGGCATCTGCTATGAGGTAGTATAGGATGTATGTATTTTCCCAGTCATCCAGTTACAGATGGAATCCAGGGGCTTCTTACTCGATTCACTGGATCTCTATGTTTTGAATTGTTAAAAAGTGAGGGAAACTTTCAGAGTTGATGTGACCTGGGAGAACACATCTTCTGCAACTAACTGAACATTCAGGGAAGTTTATTTGGTAATGATGTACCTTGAGGAGGAAACTTCCCTCACGCTTATCTCTGACAAAAGCAAAAAGTCTTCCTTGACATCTTTGCTAACTGTTGAAACTGAGTAATAATGAAAGGAATGAATGAATAGTAAGTCACTAGTTCAGTGTTCTTTTCACTGATCTTCTGGGTCTTGGATTTCAGGATGCTTTAAATATACCTAGAAATTCTTATCGTGCTGGGTCAGTATGCCTTTTCTAGGAACACTCTGGGTTTCACCTTTGGTTTTGGTTGTTTGAGGGTTTTTTTGGGAGTAGGGGAGGGAGGGCAGGTGTGGGTGGGTTTGGTTTTGTTTGGATTTTTGTTCAGGTTTATTTTTTGTGTTAGGATGGCTTTTCTCCTCCTTATGACTTTCTTACAAGCTTTGGGTCAACACTTTGCTCTAAGTGGTAAGAACTGAATTTCAATTTTATATAGCAAGTATGTCTCAACCCTGGAGGCTATTTAGAAACTGTTGCACAAAGTACATTCTTACCTGTATGGTCTCCTTCCAGCAACTCTGGCAGTATAAAAAATTCCACCATAAAGGTCCTCTGACTTTGATGGTCCTAAGATAAAAGGAAGATCAGAGTCTGTCCTTCCTTTTTGCGTAGTAAGGGACCTGAATAATAGTATTGTTTATACTGATACTGTTTATCTGCTCTCTTCCATGATTGGTCTGCTTTTAATGACTTAAGTGTTTGCCAGATTTTAACCATTCTAGGGGCTGAAATTTCTCTTTTTGCCTCACTATACTGTAGTTTCTTGGGTTTTAATGGTTCAGGTCTTCTGAGAGTGGAGCTTGGGCAAACTGAAGTTAAATCGAGTTTGTAGACTCAGTGGTTCAGAGTAGAAAGTTGAGTGTCTACAGTTCACCTCTTCTTCCTTCAGGAAAAAGATAACTGGGGCACAGGTGCAGGAATGTATTGTAAGAGCAGCATGTGCTGATGACTTGGATCAGTGGGCTGCAGCAAAGGTACCCCTTGTCACTGCAGTGGGATAGACTGCACTGGCTAATCTGTCTTGATGGAAGTAATTTCAATTTTGGGTAGGTGATTCAAATAAGCTGCATTGGGCTTGCTGGCAAGGTAGCTGGTGCTCTTGCCTTAAGACAGATGGTAGGGTCAAAGCACACAAGCATGGCACCAACAGAGTATAAGCTTCTTAATTCTAGCATTATTGTTCAGTCACTGATACTGCTATGTAACACTGGGCAAATTGTGGTGCTTCCTGTACAGGTCTCCTTACCTGTAAGATTTGGACAATGACATGTTAGTCTGTTACTCTACATTAATATTCAGGGCAAGGAATTGGGAGGGGTTTTGGGTGTTACTTTTTTCTGTGTCAGACTTTAAAATGTTGAATTTGACATGCTTCTTGCAGCCATCTTTTTCTCCCTCCTTTTCCCCTCAAAAAACCGCCAACCCTAGAATAATTGGTATAAAGAATTGTTAATTCCATTCAATTCTTTGTATGCAGTAGGGTGAGGGGTTTGGTTTTGGTTGGTTTTTTGTTTTGGTTTTTTTTTTCACCTGTATCTGTTAGTGGTTTAAATAGTTTCAAAGCCCAGTCTAATGAAGTATAATCTTTACTGATCTGACTTGGGCTTTTCTAGGTGTCCTCCAGCTACTGTACTTTGCAAGTTCTGTACACTATCAGTATTAAAATTGCTGATCTCTGGTAACAGAGCTTGTCTCATAATCCCTTTTTTAAATAATGGGGTTATGTTTGAAGCTTCCCAATGATAAGGAATTTGTTCAAACTCCCATGAACTTTTACAAATGTCACTGAAGAGTTCACTGGTTTCTTTGCTTACTTCCTTCAAAACTTTGTGGATTTATGTTATACAAACTATGTTCGTCTAACCTTTGCTGATAACCAATTTGGTTGTATGTTCAGCACATTGTTACCACTAGTACCCAAAAATAATTAATTTCAGAGATGGACTAACTTTTAAGTGCGTACAATGGACCTGAAGGTCATTGACTTTAATGAGAATGGTGATGTTCACCACCTTTCATTATTAGGACCTTCTTAGAACAATTTTGTTTTTGCAAGGGGCTGTATCTCCTTAACTCCTTGTGTCTCTGGGACACTTCCTGTGAGAGGGGAGTGAGCCAGGTAGCCTTTTTAGAAGAGTATTAAGGCTATGTTTTATTTTTCAGGTACTTCATTATTCTTTTAGATCATTACTTTTGCTAAAGTTCTCAGTAAATAAAATAAAAGCCTTTTATCTGGGAAAGCAGATATCTAGATCTCATCCACGTAACTCTTAAATTCTGCCCTGATACTCTAATGACCAGCATGTGCCTCTTACAGACTATGAGTTATTTGGTCACTTTCTGTATATTACTCTGGTGAGAATGTGAGGAGGAGGAATATTTTCATTTACAAACATGTCTGTAATTTTCTGTTTTACTGCTTTTCTTTTTGCTATGCCTAATAATTTTCTGTTCATTCTTTTTTTGTTGTTCTGGGCTGAAGATCTTAATTTTCATACATCTTTCTGTTTTCTGATTATAACTTTTCTGTATATAATTTATTATTAACATGTGAAATTGTCTGTAATAGGTGTGATTACTCTTGTTACCTGCTTCCCTTCATCCCCAAGACTTCCAGCACAGTCTGTTCTTCTTGCTTTAACTGCCTTTTTCAAAATCAGAGTGCAGGATTTATTTACATGTCTTCACCTTCATGCTGTGTGTTTCACCACAGCCAAACTAACCTAGAATTAGCAATCATGGTGCCTCTTCTGAATTTACCTCTTTAATCATAGTTTTCTAATTCTTTCAGCTTCTTTTTACTTTTAACTATTTTTCTTAGTGTCCTTCTCCATTCCCTTCTTCACTTCTATCTGTTTACTATAGGTATCTGTTGTTACATCTGCAGCCTTTGCCAGGCAACAAAATGTGTCCTCTTATTATTTTGGTTGAGTAGTTTGTTCAGTGCTTTTTTCTTACATGTATTTCTGCAGAAACAACCAGATATGTTACAACTCTTGATCAGTTTTATTTAATTAGTCATTACCATAAAATTCTGGTATGTTACTCATTTATTTTTTTTTTTTTCACTTTCCCTTTGTATTTATGGGTGTTTTTCAATGTCTTTCATATTCTAGGCACAACATAGGCTTTCCCATTGTAGAATGTTCCTCTGAAGGAGACTTTATTCTTTCCAAACCACCAGACACAGGGGGACTAATCTCTTTCGGCACTGTAGCTGAACAGCTGGTGTATGAATTGGGTGATCCTCAGCGCTATCTTTTACCAGATGTCACATGTGACTTTTCCAAAGTTTCCATCACTGAAATTCCAGGTTAGTTCCCTTACATGTTAAGAGATCTTTGTCAATGAACTGGGTTATCAAATTAAAGCAGTTATTTTAATTTCCATGCTTTCTCTGCGTATTTCTTGTTAAATTAGTTCCTTAGAGTGTGATATTAAACTGATCTTTCAACTACTTTTGCTAGAAATTCCTTTAGAAATTCTGATCATGCTCTTAATTTGTCTTGTTGGCTGGCTTATTTAAATCTTTGATCACTGCTCCTTTTGCTTTACTTCTTAATGCATGCCTTGCACATACCAAGTCTTTAAACTGTATTCTGTGTAAGTAACATTAAGACAGCTCCACTATGATTTCAGTATTCTTTTTAAACTGCTGCTTAGTTTCTTTGCTCAAAAAAAAAAAAAAAAGAAAAAAAAAAGTATGTCTTGTACATAGTTTTCTCATATGGCATTTGAAATGTTAGTAACAATGGAAAAGTTGTGTCTTTCAAAGCACTACTTGATAATAGCGTTTTTCTATTATAGCATTTCCTAGGCATTTAGGTGGATCTTAAGTGGTAGAAGTGTGCTGAGGTACAGGATTTCCACCAAAGAATGTCTGTTTGAAAAAGTCCATTTACTGTTCTTGAAACTTTCAAAAGCCAGTAGACTAAAGATGGTTATGTATGTTCTGGATTTAGCTTTAAAAACAAAACAAAGAAAAAAACATAGGCTTGGCAGATTTGAAGATCTGTTGATTGGATAAGACAGCTTGGAAAAAATGTTTAGCTATGGTCACTTGAATTTTGTGTTTTACTGCATCTGTTTTATATGTTCTTTCATTCTAATGGAGATTACCTGTGACAGTATGCTGAGTGTCTTTATAAAACTTAGAAGAATTGAAATCTTAAATTAAAAACTTACTGTGATAAAACTCAAAACACTGTAGCATCAAAAATGTTTTGCATCAATAATAAAAGTACCATAAAATTGTACAGTGAACCTTCTGCTTATGCAACATAACCAAATGGCAGTCTGATAAGACCAGCTTGCTGCTCTTAGCCACTAGTTTTTATAATAAAAATTAAAAAAAGAAACCCTAACCTTCCTATGAACTTTTAGCTTGCAAATGACCTGATATGACATGTTTGAACTTAAAATGAACTTCCACATGAACTTTCAGTTAGCCCTCTTAGAAATATAACAGATGGAAAATGGGCAAATTTCTTAAATATTTTTAGTTTGAAGTGCTTTGACACGTACACCAGTAAAAACAGGCAAGCTATCTGTTTTTGCTGTTTACATTGCTGATTTTATTGTCCTGCTGGATTACTTGCAGTGTTTGAACTGAGAGGTGCTTCTGTTTTCTTTTTGTCAATGCATGCTATGATTTTTATTTTGTGGGGTTTTTTTCTTTGTATTACTCCTTCACCTGCATGAAACTCTTCCAGATTTTCACTCTGACTGTAGAGATACTGTTCTGTATTGAGAATTAAATTAATCTTATGTCAATCTTGCAGAGAGAGTGATGATGTTATTTGAATGATGTGTACAGTTTCTGCTAGTCACATTCACTTTTTCAGATATGTTCTGATTTGATCTTTTTAGAGTATTTGTGTAAAGCTTTGAACTGCTTCCTAAATATTTGCAAGCTCAGGTTAGCTGCTGATGAGCTACAGTATAATTCTGTCTGTCTGACGTGAGGTGCTGATCCTGCATTGCTGATTTTCAAGGAGCTGCGTCTATTAATTTTCTCTAGTTCAAGCTTGAACCTGATGGCACAATAGCAATTTTCTGCAGTTTCCTCTTGGCATTAATATTCCTAATACTGAACATGGTAGTAACCCTGGAACGTACATTCAGACTGTTCTGTTTCTGTTGTTGACATAAAGGCTAAAGTTAAGTTGTCCCTTCATTTAATAAGCTATCTGCAAATAAGCTGTCATTGGTTTGTAATCTTTCTTGTTTTGTTTCTTGACCAAGTGGACTGCAGTCCACTCCAACCAACTACAGTAAATTGTTTGCTCTGTGTGAGTGCAGTAACTTTATGTTAAGTGGAGAACAACTATTGGGCTTGAACTCCTAAGGCTGCTTTCTTTATTATTTTTTAAGTACATAAATAAACATTTCAATCATTCTATTAAAAGCCTCATTGAAGTCATAAATTCAGTCACTAATTTGCTGTTTGGGTTTCTAAGGCAGGGAGGATTGTTTTGTGAAAGGTTCTCTTTTCTGTGGCAGTGCAGCTATTGGTGATTTGCTTTTTAATTAAGTGCATTTGCTTAATAAATATCACAGAAGAATGTATTTCAAGTTATATTGAAGAAGCTTAAATACTGATTTTTAACCACTGTAGGTTTTGATGGTGGGGCAGTGAAAGTTCACGGAGCAAAAGGATCACCTCCTTCGGCGTTTTATAAGGTATTACCTCTTTGTGTGGAAGATATTTTTGATTTACAAAATTTTATATTTTGGAGAAAATGCTAAATATTTTCTGCCATAAACTGTTACCACTTTAAAATCCTCTTCTTCCTGCCACCAAAGAAATACATTATTTGATACATAAAAACATGTTAATTTATATAACAAGCATATCCACAAACCTCCTGAGAAGGCTGGGATGGTTCTTTCATAGTAATAATAAATAATTTTTAAAAAATCTTAGCCCAGTAACAGCTTTATACTTGTTGATTTTTTTTTTTATAATGGTGTGTTAATTTTATTCTATATCATTGTGAAATTTGTCTGCCAAGTAGTTTTCAAAAGGTAAGTTATGAGTAACTACATCTGTCAAGAGAGCAATTAAGAATGAGACAGATCATCTCCTGAAGTACTCTGTTGAAAGAAAACTGCACTGCCAGTGAAATTGTGAAGTTGTCTGCTTGTCTTCTAGTCTATAGTCTTCTAATAGTCTTATTTCCCTGAATGGATGATACGGTAATACAGGTCTAGTGAAGTACCAGTAGGGCTGGATCCTTTTCTTGTTTAAACTAGTGTCAAAGCTGACTTTTACAGAAGCAAGGTTGAGATCAGAAATTAACTGCATAGCACAGCCATATCAAAAGTGACTTAAAATAAACAGGGGATTGTGCTAATATGTATATTTAAATAGTATAATGTGTGTCTGAGTGTAGTTTTGTTTGAAACTTTTTACTGCATTTTTAAAATACTTCTGACACTTTTAAAATCAGTTTTATGCAAGATAGAGTTTCAGTTTTTAAAAGATGCAGTATTTCAAAAATAAATAATAATGTCACCAAAGCAGGTTTGGTTTTGGTGAGTTGTAAAGTCACAATGGAAGAGCTCTCTAAAGGCTCTGTAATTAAAGCATACTGACAAAGCAGTTCTAGAATTCAGTAGTACACCACAGGTCATGTTGCTTATGACCTGAGTTAGTTTTATTGTTCTGTGTCAGCTTTATGAAAAAAGGGTTTGCTGTTTTAAAAGTACTGTGGGAGTGTAATCTGAACATGAATTTTCCTAAGCTTTCATCTAATGAAGCATTGATTTTTGTTCTTTTTTGGTAGGCAGCCTGCAATTTCAGTACAATATTGTCTTGTCAGCTCTTTGCATTTTCTCAGAATTTTTAGTTCAACAGTTCAAGTTACATAATGCTGGAACAATAAATTTAATTTCTTTGAGTCAGCATGTGCATTATCTGCATCTGAGAATATGTGTGTCTTTTTAATCTGAAAATAACTTTTGGTGTGTTAGAAACAAAAAAAATTTAAAAGGAAATTATAAGCACATCTAGTTTCAGAAATGTTTTTTTACCATTTATGGCCATGAGTTATGGTTGTTACTTTCACTGTATTAGAGCTCTGTTAGGCAGCTATAGCACTGGAAGTCTAGTAAAATGCCTATTAGTTAAATGTTTGCAATGCATAGCATGTTCTTTTGTGTGTTCACATGTATGTGATATTTTTCCATATTTACTTAAAAACTTACATCTGATCTATTTCACTCGCATAGATTATTCATCTTTTCAGCATCAGAATGTGTTCTATGTAGCAAAAATGATAAATACAGGAAAATTTAAGAGTAACAGTGAGAAGTGATTCTGACTTCCAGAGTTTTGTAGATTTGACTCTTCCTCCAATACAATTCTGAATTCTAAGTAATGGAGTAAATTTGTGTGATGATGCTGATGGCTCCTTGCTATTCTGCTGCTTCTTAAAGTATGGATGATTGTCAGAGAGCATTTAGAGCATATCAGTACTGCATCCTGTCTAATTTGATAATCCCTTAATCATTAGGTAAATGCCACTTACCTTGATGGCTTCAGAGCTACTGCTGTCTGTCCAGTGGGAGGTCCAAAAGCAGTACAAAAAGGAAAACGCACTGCAGAAAGTATTCTGCAGAGGTTAGTATTTAAGTCTTGGAAGGGGTTTGGGCTTTTTCTTTGCAGAGATGATGAAAACAGAACTGTGACATACAATGGCAAGCTTGTAAGAACTGGACAGAAGAACCTCTTCCAGTTCAGACGACATTTCATGACTTAAGTAGCCTATTTAGGAAACATGTTTTCTGTGTATAACTGCACTCCAGTTACGTTTGACAGAGGAAGAAAGATTTCAAATATCATTGAAAATACATGGCTGGACAGTAGAGAGAAACCCAAATTAATGATGGAAAAGCTGTGCTTCAGATTAAAACTTACTAGGTGCCAGAGAGAAACCCTTATGAAATTAGTTTCCACTGATTTTCACTTTTTGATTAAAAATCTTAGTGCTATGAAATGTGGGCAGTTTGTGTTTTAAGCAAAATTATCTTAGTACCTGGTAAAATGTGACTAATGATTTTGTTTGCTAAAACAATTTTACAGTTGTAAGACAGACTGATAAACCTCTAGTCATATTGTTGCTTTGGTAAAGAGGGATTCCTCTTAAATACAATTCCATATCCTCATGGAAGTGTTTGAGCATTTACTCCAATAGTTCCAAACTTTCTAGT